GTGTGTGTGTGTGTGTGTCCTGGTGTATTATGTGGGGATTTAGGAGACGTCATCCCTAACCAGGTTACTAATTGTTTCTATCGATCGGCTCAGGGAACGTCGTCCTCAGTAAATTGTACAGCAGGTAAATGGCAGAGACAATAAAACAGGAGTGTCAGCTGCTGCTCTCCTGGGCCAAAATGTCAACGTGGTCTTGTTTCAACCTTCAGCTTAATTGAACAATTAAAATTACTGATTGGCTGTCAAGTGAACATGTGTGTGTGTGTGTGTGTGTGTGTGTGTGTCTGCACACTTGGGCTTCATGGATTTCCAGTCACTCTCCACCGCTCTCCTTCAGACATTTTGATAGAAGAGGCACAAGTGGAGCTCAAATGGTCGCATCAATAATTCACAGAACGCCAGTCTATCCTGGAGCGCTTCACCGCTCACACGGAGCAGGACAGGTGGAGCTCTGCAGGGCAGCCTGTCGAAGCTGACCTCACCTTTCTAAAGTCCTGCACAGCGACGCTTCCGGTGCGGTTGCGGTCAGATGTCAGGAAGCAGCGCCTGATGGACGTCCAGGATGAGCGAACGGTCTCGTAGATCCTCAGCATGACCTTCACACAGTCTGTGCTGAGGAGCCCCAGGCTCATCTGGACCATCACAGGATCCCATCGCAGCACAAAGTACCAGGTCCACACAGAAACACAGGAATAATGAGAAAGAAAACAACAAGTAGAGGTGAGAGCCCCCACACTATCGGTAACATTTCACTTCTTCACAAGCTGAGACTCTGAACAAAGTCTTTTGTGTTCTGTGATCAGATAAAGAGGTTTTGTCTGTAAACTCATGTACAGACACACCATCAAATCAGATACCATGCAGGGGGTCTCTGCAATTTTACACAGATGGTGGGTTCGGCTGAGACAATGCAGGTCTTTGTGATTCCAAAGTTGGTTTGGAAGGTTGCAGCTTGTGGGTTGCCAGATTAGGCCCTCACCCACACGCTCCGTTGAAGCTTGGGGCTCGGCTTAGTCGCTCAGCAGGGGTCCTTTTAGAATGTGCCCACCCGTGTGTCATTGTTCAAAGCTTCGTATACACCTCCCCATGCCAAGAAAGCACCGCCACGCACCGAACTTGTCCAATTTGCCCGTCATGGGAGGTGATAGTCAAGAGCCTGAGGGTGGGAGGTCCCTGCTGAGTTTATACAATCTGGCAACCCGCCGTCGCCCATCACCACCCCCTCACATTCCAGAGCCATCCCTCCCCTCACTTCACTGTAACCTAATTTAAACTTGCAGCCAATAAAACTACAATACATCAGACCTTAAACAGAGGGAAGGAGGAGGACGACAGAGTTCGTTTGAAACGAGCTAATGTGCTGCTCAGCATGAGGACGCGTAGCTGAAAGAACATATCCTGTGTCCCAATTTAATGACAAAATCATGTGATTATAGCGGCAAAGTCTGGTGGGTAGAAAACAGTGACAGCCTCCACCCCACCCAGCGTAACCACATCATACATATTACATATATATCACTGTGATGGTCATCTTTAGTCATTGTAAGACAGAGGAGGGTATTTATCAGTTAAGTTTTGATCGACTGAATGATTGACCCGTATGAATGTTTAGACCAGTGTTGCATCTGCTGAGAAACGCATCCCTTTCTTGACACTCTTTCTTCCTCAGCTCTTTCTCTCCTTCTCTGTGCTGTACTTGGGGATGGCAGCGAGGACACACTGGAGGCAGCACAGTGACAGCAGCAGTAGTCAGGCTACAGTAGCCCAAATGTGCCAATAGTGAATGTGATAAAACTGCTGTTTTCTCTGGAGAATAAACAAGCGTGAAGGAAACAACAGTGTGGTAAAGCTGGGGCAAACAAAGCTAAAGTTAGCTCAATTAGAACAGAGGTTGCAGGTATGTGTGGGGACTCTGTACACTCCAGATGGGAACAGCAAGGACATCTTGTGTTTTGCTTACCATCACAAGTCCAGTTTTGCAGTCCAAAACATCTGCATTGTGTGTTCGTATTGGCTCAGTATTTATAACACATGAAACCTATGATTAGCTGACTAACTGCAGCACACTGAAGGAGACGGCCGCTTTAGTTTGTATAGAGGGATGGATCAGAGACAGGGAGTCTGTCCAAGAACAAGATGACTGACAGGAATAACCAACACTAATGTTAGAGAGTTAGTGTGTTAATA